TCTACAAATGGAAACTATTATAGCTATGAGTACCGAGGGAGCTTCAGGACACCATTCATGAATTGGCACTAAGCCATGGGATGAATGGTCACCATGGTCAGAGCAAATCAGAGGTCCAGACCTTGATAAATTCATGAATAATCTTTTTCTTTTTTTCTTTCTTTTTTTCTTTTTTTTTCTTTTTTTTTTTTTTTGAGATGGAGTCTTGCTCTGTCACCCAGGCTGGAGTGCAGTGGCACAATCTTGGCTCACTGCAAGCTCCGCCTTCCAGGTTCACACCATTCTCCTGCCTCAGCCTCCCAAGTACCTGGGACTACAGGCACCTGCCACCACGCCCGGTGAATTTTTTGTATTTTTAGTAGAGACAGGGTTTCACGGTGTCAGCCAGGATGGTCTCATATCCTCACTTTGTGATCTGCCCGCCTCGGCCTCCCAGAGTGCTGTGATTACAGGTGTGAGCCACCGCACCTGGCGCATAATCTTTTTCTTACCTGGGTGAATCTTGTTTCTTCCCAACTTAGTCTTTCAGGATCTGCCAATAAAAGAAGCAGAAAGAGTCCTGTACCCCTCCACGCAGCCTGAAAATTTTAGGTTTGGGTCAAGGTTGGCCTTACCCACAGACACGATGGGTGGCTGACTTCATGACAGTATTTAAGAAAAATCATAAGCCACCCTCACCCAAATTTGTATTATGCCACCTGCTATATGGGTCTAAAATTCCATTATTATAGATATTTCCCTCCATCTGGGCAATGGCTTCTGAAGACCCCTACCAAAAACACACAGTTACCTGGGAGAATGTGCATGTCAACACATTGGTGAAAGTTTCCTAACCTGCAATCTAGCTGCTTCTTCAATAAAGAAGAATGGTCTGGAACTCAGGACAAGTAAGTTTTGATAGGACTGGGGTACTTAAAGGGCCAGAGCACAAGCATCTTCCTACAGTAGAATGTACGGGCAGCAGAAAGACACCAAATGGGCATGGGACCTACTAAGAATGTCAGTTGGGCCATCTGTGATTTAGGGAGCTGAGACATGGAGTCAGTTCTAACTTTCAGTTCACTTTTATATTGACTCTACCTGGCTCTTGTACCTTCCAGCGCAGACTTGCTTCCTCCCAAGAGCAATGATGTACTTGGGCAAGAGGTAGAGAGGCGATACTAGTGTCCGGGTAGTCTGAGCAGCAACATCCAGGATCTCAGTGACTGAGACCAAGCAGCTCTGTCTCTGACCAACACTATCATGACAGGAGCTAAAGGTCTCCACTCTGGGTTGGGGTCAAGGAAATGAGTAACTAAGAGTGTGCTCTGCAGATCACTGGGACTCTAGAGGGTCTTTTAGTTGGTCCAAAAGTCCACCCAGAATCCATCATCCAAACACACATGACTGGTTTGTGTTTTGTTTTTTGTTTTGTTTTGTTTTTGAGATGGAGTCTTGCTCTGTCGCCTAGGCTAGAGTGCAGTGGTGCGACCTCGGCTCACTGCAACCTCCACCTCCCAGGTTCAAGCAATTCTCCTACCTCAGCCTCCCAAATAGCTGGGATTACAGGCACCCACCACCACGCCCAGCTAATTTTTGTATTTTTAGTAGAGACAGGGTTTCACCATCTTGGCCAGGCTGGTCTCAAACTCTTGACCTCATGATCCACCTGCCTCGGCCTCCCAAAGTGCTGGGATTATAGGCGTGAGCCACCGTACCTGGCCTGGTTTGTGTTTTAATTGTAATCTCTTAGGAGATAAAAATATATATTTGAAAGTGCAAAGAAATGAATATTTGAAAAAGTATAACTATTGTCATGGTTATTTACTATGGAAAAATGTGTGTGTGAATATTGAATATGTATGTATGTGTGTACAGACTCACACACACATGTATTCTTCCCTCGCTCCCTCCTTTCCTTCCTTCCTTTCCATTGCCAAAAGAGGCCAGTAAGATATGCGAGAACTGGCATTTCTGCAATCTGACCGGAACAGTCTGAAGGCCACCAGAGTGGGTGTTACATCTGCAGGACTGGCTGCTTTCCTACCAACGTTTTTCAACTCAGATGTTTTGGCATCATGGCAGCACACATCCTCTCTCTAATCCGGTCTGCACCTAAACCCTGTGTAGGCAGTTTCTGCCGCAAAAAGAGCAGCCCAAGAAGTGAGAACTTGGTTCCTCCTACATTACCCTAAATTATATCAGGGAAATAATATTAATACTTACAACAACTACAACCAAGTTGTAGGACCTCAACTACTCCCCTCCCCAAACTTTCCTCCTCTGAATTATGAGGAAACTTCCTTAGGAAGGTTGGAAGAACTGGGAATGAGAGAGGAGAATTGGGAATGGGGGAGAATGTGTTAAGCAGGTGTAAAACATAGGAAGGGGCTCCATCTCTGAGAGGGGGCTTTGTGGATGGGAGGAGGAGAAGGAACTGAAGGGCGGTAATTAGCTTATTATTGTTTCCCCTGGGTGTTGTGAGAATTCCTTGGGAGACACTTGTAAAAAAGCAAAGGGAAGACAGTAAATACACATCTAATGATATGCTAAATAAATTATTATTGTTATTATTATGACTATAATAGCAATTGTAACTTGCTTCCTGCTCGAATTTCCACTAAAGATGGGAATTGACCCCCTTACTGCCAGGCCTCGCAGCTGTCAATAACTCCCAGCCTCCGCCTTCCCAGGAATCAGTCCCCAGGAGTAATTGGGCAATATAGACTAGGCTTCAGTTAACAGCCACTCTCCTGGTTTCTGCAGAAGGAGAACCAAACGGGAGCTCAACATAAGCACACAAGGCCTCTGCCAGGTACCTGCTCTAGCAAAGAAAAGAAGAAAAAGAACCTTGCCGAGAATCGTGGGGGTTATACTTCGGGAATAACTTACTGATTTCCAAGCAAGAGAACTCAGGGAGGGCAAAACCTGAGGCAGGCAGTTAGGGAGGGGGTGGGTCACAGAAATGAAGGGGAAATATACAAATCAGGGATACTCAGTCTAGAGATCATAGGCTTCTAGGACTCCTGCAACTGTCAAGGGCATTTCCAGAATTTTGCTAGGAAGCGAGGCAATTGCTTTTGTCAGCTTCTCAAAGGGGTCTGAGACCCAGAAACAGCTAAGAGTCATTCCAGCCCAGGTAAAAGGGACCCAGGACTCTTTGGGCTTAATAATAGTGGCCAGTGTCTATTGGTTTCCTGACTTTTGGCTGAGGACAAACCAATAGACACTGGCCACTATTGTAATCTGCTGTTTACAGCAACTGTCAGCAACCCCTCCACCCCCACCTCCCTACTTCTAGCCAGAGCCCAGGCACCTGCCCTGAGCCCTTCTTAGGCAAATATATGTAAATGTTGGACCCTCAGTTCTCCCTCCCTGCATTTCTTTAGGGAAAGCAACAACCATCCCAGTAAGCCACAGGTATTCATGGGGAAGGAGAGGGCTAGTTGTCTGAGAGGGAAAATGCCAAAGGCTGCAGACTAGGAAATGAGCTCCTTTCTGGACCTCAGTCCTTCACCTAGTCACCTAGTCACAGGGTGGATTGCCTCTAAGGATTGTTACGGGAAAAGGAACCAAATTTGGGAGGGTCCTTCTTGCTTTAAGCCTTAACGGGAGACGGGGAGGCCAACCCTTCTCCGCAGACCGGGATCCTCACTAGACAGAGGAGCTCCAAACCTGCCTATCTCATCCCATGCACCGACAGTGCCTGGCCTGGCTCCAAACTCCCGAAAGGGACCATTTTATAGGGGACCAAAAAGGGGACACTGATGATAATAATAATAATAAAAATGAAACAATCTGATTGGGGCATTACTGGATCAGAAAATTCAATAGTTAAATTGTTAAAATTTTTTAACTATTAAATTAAAAATTTAAGCCTGATCTGTTTGGCAGCCCTGGAGCAGGGCTGAGGCATAGAGAGAAAGCTTTCCTTCAGCCAGATTGTCGGTCTCGCCCTGATTTATTTTTGTTTTATTTGTGGATTTCTCAGCGGAGCCAGTGGTGGTTCCTCTTTGCACCCCTCGGGTTGACAGGCAATTCCTTCCTAGCCCAGGTCTCAGCTCTGGTTTAGTTTTCATAATTTGGGGGTCCAGGGAGCCAGGAGACTGGAGATAGAAAGCACAAGTGCACTGGGGAGGTGGGTCTGCCTTGGCTTACCACCAAATTTCCGGACTTCAGGTGCCTTGCTCCAGTCCCTGCCCCATCCTAGGCTCAGGATGCTCTCCCACCCTACTAACCACTGACCTGGTCAAAACCCAAGCTGCTACAAGCTGCCATGTTATCTCCCAGCCTGGCTAGGGTGCCTGCTAGCCAGCAGTGGCTATGGTGGTGTGCAGAGTGAGGGTGAGTTTTTGTATTGACTACCGTTCCGTTTACCTCAACAAGTATGTTTGGGCAACCATTCTGTGCCAGGCAGCAGACAGAGTCCCTGCACTGCAGGAATTCCTAGTCCTGTGGGCAGGGGTGTGTGGAGGGTGGCACACGGTGGTTAGCCTGGTCCAAGGGTCTACACTCCCTTCCTAGCATCCTAGAGATCCTGGAGGCCAGGTTGGCCACTAAGCCTGCGTTCAGGACAACTCCTTCACACATTCAATGAAGTTATCCGTAACTCCCTGGTTTAAAAAAAAAAAAAACTGGCAGTAGTGGGAGGTATTTCCCCACTGGGTTGGTTAGTAGCAGGGGAAGAATTGTGGAGCCCTGGCCCAGTGGCGTCTGGAAGGAGACTGACGTAAGAGTGGTGTAGCTGTGAGTGGGAGAAGTGAAATCTAGTGGGGTAAGTCCATGTTCTCTGCTCCTTAAGTCAAATTCTCCCTGAAAAGACCCAGGGCAGCACTGTTAGGGAGCTGAAGGAGTCCCTCTGTGCCCAGAGGGAATTAGGCCACTCAGGCTTCAGAGAAGGAGGGCGGGTGGTGAGCACAATCTCCCCAAGCCCCCATCAGAGCAGGTCCAATTCTTGCAAATTCACACCTCAGTCCACCAGGTTCTGGTCCCATCCTACATCCCCGCCAGGGCACAGGAGGCCCAGATAAAAACAAGCTTTATTTTGGCCAAATTAACTCACTTTCCTGGATTACCTCACTTATCAGAAAGTGAAAGTACACCCCACGCTCCCCGCCCTGTCCCTGCCTAAATCTCTTTATCTCTGAAGCCCACTCTTTGAGATCTAAAAATTAGGGTTCAACAGAAACGCGCTAGGACTGCAGGAGGGACACGACAGTCCCTATCTTTCAGTGCACTAAAAGCCAAACTGAAGGCTGCTTCCTCGGTGGAGTGTCTCAGGGTGAGATGGCAGGACTGTTCACTGCTTCCCGTTTTACAAGCTCCTTGTCCACCTTCTGCGCCAGCCCCTCACAAAACCGGTTCTCACCTTCTGGTGGGTACTGGTGTTTACCCCTTTCCTCCCGCTATCTGTTCAAACGGAGCCCACCCACCCTCCATTCACCTCCCTCCTTGAGGCTCCCTGAGCTCTATTTACCCTTTTGTAACTCCATCCCTCCATAAGTACACAACTCTGCTAGCTGGTTTCCTAGAGGGCAGATACAGTGTTTCCAGTTGGCCCTCTGCAGATATCTGTGAACAAGTCTTTCCCAGCTCCTACATATAAATATGTCTGTTCTGAGATAGACGGGCCTAAGTCCTAACGCACACACATCACAAGATAATTACACCTTATATACATACAGATCTCTCTATAGAGTTATATTTGAAAGTGTCTATAACTCTAGAGAGAGATTGCAGCATGCACATATAGGACTATAATTATTTATGTCTATTTTTATAACTATGTAGTTATAAACAGATATGCCTATATATAGCGATAATAATATAGAAACGTCTCCATAGCCATATATGGCTCTAAGTGAATGCTCTAACTACTCTATTTCACAATCAATAAGTATATATCTCCTGATACATAATTCTAACAATATACATTTTTATCTATATAGCTGTTCAGAGATATAAATCTGTCAGGATATCAAATGTACATAAAGCCGGATGGCTGTAAGAGAGTCGTATATTTTCCCATATATAAATCTGCTCTTATAACTACTGTATATGCACAAATACAATGGAAATAATTATATTTCCCTCAAACATAAATCTGTAAATACAACCACAGCACATTTAGGTACGGTTAGACATAGAGCAATATTTCCTAGACATCAGTCTGTCAATAGAGCCACCAGTGCCTCCAAACAGAGAGTTATAGAGGGAGTTATAAATAAACTCTCCAGATGTGAACGGATCAGTAGAACTAGATGTAAACATGACTCCAAGCCGTTCTTTCTTCTTCTTCTTCTTTGTAAGATATTCCTGAAGCAAGCCGAGTCATATAACAGGGTGCAGAGGTATCTGGGTACTGGTATTTTTCCCCCCAAGGAGAGTCGGAGGTCGCTGGACTTTGGGAAACAGAACAGGAGTGGGTGGGGGACAGTGCCCGCTCCCAACGCAGCCCAGAAGCCCCTTCCGTCAGTCTCCTGGTGGCTGAGAGCTCGGGCAAGTGGAGAGGCCTAAGGGAGAAAATGAAAAAGCAGAGTCTGGCTTGAGTCGTTTGGCCCTTCTCCGGCCTAAAACACTCTCAACAGGGAAGCCCCGAGCTGGCGTCGGAGCGGAGAGAGCCCACCAGGCGCAGAGGCTTGGGGAAAGGGGCTGCAGGTCGGGCTGCGGAGGCCGAGCGGAGTCGCCAGCCCGTGCCTGACCGCCCGGCGCCCCATCGCCCGGGGCCGGTGCCTTGCCGGCGGCCTGGAACACAAAACCTGGGCCCTAGCCCTGCGCTCAGCGCTTCCGCCCGTCTTATTTTATTGCTGTTTTGTCCGATTAGATATCGCAGCGTCCTCCACCCGTTGTTGTTCTCAAATGCGAAGGCACCCAGGTCTTTCAGCACCAGGGCTAGCTTTAAATAAGTGACTCAGTGGATAGTGTATTTCTCTTTTCAGACCAAATGGGTCACCGGCTACTGAAAAAGAATCCAGATCTCTGAAAGGGTTTGTGACAAATCTTTTAGAAGTTCTCACGCTCACTTGTTACGATGATTTTCTTTTCTTTTTTCTCTTTTAAAAAAGTTGGCTAATTTGTGTTTCTATATTCCTCTTTAATTTTATTTTTATTGGGGGTGCAATTGTTTTGAAAGGAGGGATTTCGTTAGACCCGAAACTGTGGGGCGGCTCCCTCTCTAGCAAACTTACTATCTCTACGCCTGTGACTGCCATCTCCCCCAAGTAAACAAACTAATTAAATGACCGGAAAACTGTACCTGGAGAGAATGAGGTGGATGTTGCAGGATCCGGGACCGAAGTCTTTGCTTCCTTCATGAAAAATCGGCTAGTCTCCAAGCTCGCGAAGGAAAATTCATGGCGCCTCAACTCCTCCTTTTACATTTTTAAATAAAGAGCCTAGAAAGGGACCTGGGCCTGCCGGAGCCCTAGCCTGGCTCTCCCCACTCCCCGGCGGCCATAAGTGTTTTTCTGCTTCCGTCCGGGGCCCGTTCTCCCGGGCATCTCTGCGCTCCTGCCGGATCAAGGCTGTGGTCATCGCCTCATTCATCTCTGCCCCTTGGCCTGACCCTGCACATTTGGCCTCCTCCTTAAAACAGGGGCTCCTAGAGAGTCCCAAAAGCCATTAACCATCCCCATATGTGGGATCCCTTCCCTGATCGCACAAAGCAGAAGCCTGAGAAAAAAAGCAATAAAGAGTGGTCTCCTGGCTCTCCTTCCCCTCTTCTGTCCCTTGTCTGGGAAAGGGGTTCCCAACCCCAGCCCCCCAAGGGCATATTGAGAAGCTTTCTTCCTCCCTTCTTTTCCTATCTCCACCTCAGATGCTGTGATCCTGACTCCTTCCTGTCTCCACCTCAAAATATTTCCTCTTGCATTTTATTGTTATCCTGTTATGGAGGGACTGTTAACTACTGTTTTATTATTATTATTCATTATTTATTGTTATTATGATTGTTGTTAGAGATTTGTTCACCACGTTCAGGGGACAGCAGCCTGGCCCAGGGGGAAGCCTGCCTCTCTCTCTCTCTCTCTGTCTCTCTCTCTCTCTCTCTCACACACACACACACACACACAAACGCAGTACACACACTCACACATATATGCTCACAAATGCCTGCTGTGTTCAGGCCCCTGCACAGCAATCCAAAGAGGCAGGCATCCTACCCCAGCACGCAAACAACACACTGCCCACGCACGCCAGTATTCAGGCAGAACACCACCCCCAGACCAACGCCAAAACCCACACGCACCGAGCTTGCAAGGAAAGGAAAATACGTAAAGAATCCCTTCTCTCCCACAACCTGGAGGGGCGAGTCAGGCCTCTGTCTCTTCCCCCCAGTCGCTTTCGCTTTCTCTTTTTTTTTTTTTTTTTTTCCTCCTTGTTTACAGCTTCAGAGAGCTCAAGGCCCATAAATCTTGAGGGGCCTACAGAGCGCAGAGCACATTTGTATGCATCGTTAGGACTCGCTAATACCTAAGCCCATTAAGGAGCGTGTTTGCGCGTGGTTTCCGGTGTGTATTAACTTATAGTTAAATTCTGGAGGAAAGGGCATTGTGAATTAACATATACCAAATCCATCATGGGCTTTTGTCATATCAGATTAGTCAGTCATGGGTTTGGGGGAGCAACTTGCCTGGATCGGGGTGTACCCACCCTCCAAACTTTGTGGAGCAAGCCCGGGGGTCTTGGGAAACATGAAGGCATTCCTATCCAGCCCCAGTCATTCGGGCCCCCTAGGCCTAGCGGCTGCACACCTGCGAGATGGCGGAGGGACTGCAAACCCGGGTGCGGGAGGCCAGCGCCGGCGAAGGGAGGCAGGCGAGGGAGGCCCCTCCAGCGTCCTGCTGGGGTTGAGTTGGGGCGGCTCGGCCCGTGGCCGCTGGGTCGTCTGGTTTCCGCTTTCCGAAAGAAATGAGAGGAGAGGCAAGTGGAGTCGCTGAACTTTAATTAAACCGCAGAGAAGACAGTGAGGGGAGGGGGAAAAAAAAAAAAACACACAAGATCGGAGAAGGAGGAGGAGGCGGCCGAGAGATCGAGGAAAGGAAGTCCCGGCGGCTCGGGGGAACTTGGAGATCTTTCCAAGGGACTGAAAGCTGGAAGTTGCATGAAGGTGTTCCTTTCCCCCACCCCAGCTACTCCGCCCCAGTCGAAAAGGCTAATTTTAGACCTCTTATTAAAAAAAAAAAAAAAGAAAGAAAGAAAGAAAAGGTAAAGAAAAAGAAAATCTAATTATGTGGAATGTTTCAGCCAGGTGTTCCTGGTTCCAATGACTCAGACCCTATTGGAGCCCCGAGGATCTGTATAATTGGGCCTGCATAGACAGAGATGAAGGATGCCAGTTCTAAAAGAAGGAAGGGGAGAGGAAAGTCCATCTCTTGGGGTCTTGTAGAAAATGCCAAAGACCAAACAAGCTAAATTATTGTGTCCGTGTAGATCTATTTGCCTATTTACATACAGCAGGCTGTGGGGGTTGGGGGTGAGGGGAGGCCGGGAATAAACGACCAGGATGGAGCGGGCTGGCAGGAGAGAAAATGCGCCCCCCGCCCTTTGCGGGAACAGCCAAGGGGCCTCCTCAGCTCGCAGCTCAGGCGGCCGCGCGGCGGGCCGGTCCGGGACCGGGGGCCGGGGCCGGGCTGGGGGAGGGGAGGCGGGGGCGGGAGGGGAGGCGGAGGCGGGCCCTCCCCGGGCGCTGTGAACTTTAGCTGGGCCGCCGCCTGTCAGCCCCAGAAAGCGTTAAAGGTGCAGCAGCCCGCGCCAGCCTCCGCAGCCGCCTTTGTACGCGTGATTTATGACTTCAATCTTGGTTCACCGAGAGTTCACACGGCTTTCGCTGCTGTTGAAGGTTAAAAGATGGTCTTCGCTTGACAAGTGGGACTATTGAAAATTCCTTCTTCTTCTTTTTTTTTTTTTTTTTTTGAAGCGAAGAGCAGACGCTCAGGACAGAAAAAAAATTGGGGGGGGGGCGGGGGACAGGGGTTGCAGGTGGGCCAAAATGGTAGGTCAGGAAGGTTTGTCTTCCTATATTTAGGATTTTTTGTTGCTGGGATTTGAGTGCGTGTTGGGGAGAGGGTAGAGACTAGGAGGGAGCTAGAGAAGAGATGTAAAGATCTCTCATATTTAGAGGCCAAAGGAGTGGGAAAAAAACAAAACTCGTCCTTTCACAGTTAATTATCTGGGTAACTTGGGTCACACCCCGTAACTGATCCTCCTCTAGAAACCGGAAATGGGCCAGGAAAGGGAGAGAGTTTGGGTAAAAGGTGAGGTTTGTGTGCTTCTCACTGGGTATACTTGGTTGATCATCCACCTTACCTGGGTAACCACTTTTTTTTTTTTTTTTTGGAAATGGGGTCCAGTTCTGTTGCCCAGGCCGGAGTGTCGTGGCACCATCATGGTTCACTGAAGCCTCAAACTCCTGGGCTCAAGTAGTCCTTCCACCTTAACCTCCTAAGTATGTGAGACTGCAGGCATGTGCCACACCGCCAGGCTGGGTAACTGCTTTTCAATGTGCTCCTGCACCCACAGATTTGGACAAGGGTATTTTTAGGCCCCAGTCTTTCAACTCTCTTCATTCTGTAGGTTTAGCCTGCCATTTACATTTGATGCACATGAAGAGGCTAATGGGAAGGAAATCTGTAGAACTGGAAGTCCTTTCTAATCCCAAATCCCCTTGGTCCAAGAGCCAGTCTCTCTTCTTTCTAGCATTTTGAAAAAGGTCGTGCCACAGCAGAGATGGTGGTCAAAGATCTCCTAAAGACCAGGATATAAGGCTCCTTTGTGGTCTAAGGCTCTGAGTACTTGGAGAAACAAAACTCACTCCTTCTTTGTAGATTCAGAGAGAGATAGAGAGAGAGAGAGAGAGGAGATACCTTGAAGCTGAGGGTCTGCTTGGCTCTTTGAGGTTTGTTTTTTTTTTTAAGATACGTGTTTTAAAATTTTTCTGGAGTGGGAATTTGGGATTGTGTGCACTGGGAAGGGGAACAGCAGAGAGCTGGGTGTGGAGTTGGGTGTGCCTCCCTAGCCCTAAATAGGCCCCATTACCATTATCGATGCTAGGTAAATATTTTCCTAAGAGATAGAGCCAGCCCCTCAAATCCAGATCTGGGAACCAAAGGCATCCACGCTAGAAGGGGCACTCCGTGCTTCTCTTTCCACATAGAGTTAGGGAGGTGTTTTCCCACAATGTGAGGACTTAGATAAGAGAGGGAGAAGAGCCAGAAAGATGTCCACATCTTGCCAGGACACCTAGCACCAGGCCCTCCTACGGGGGACCTCGTATGTAAATAGCAGAATGGGGAGCAGAGAACAGAGAGACCCCAGAAATCCAGAGTCCAGGCTCTGAGGTCACTTTGGCAGGAATGGTCCTCTGGCCTTAGGAAGAACAGAGGGGCAATATGGCACAGTTTAGAAGCTCAGGGAGTGGTAACTGTTAGGAGGAATTAGCCAAGGAAGCTAATGAATCTCTTCCAGGTTCTGGTTGGCAAGCAGAGGAACGAACTTAACAGCCTCTGGAAGTAATGTCTGTACTGAAGTCACCTTCCCACCCTTTCTGTGTTCCTCCCTGGGAAATAATTCCAGTGGGCTTGTGCTTATCTGCAAGTCTGGAGTAATTATGAATTATTAATTCATCATTAAGACTTGATTGTGACCATTGCTTTCCAGTGCACCCATTTATCTCATTCTTTGTGAGGCAGAGGGCAGCCTCTGTTAGCCCGTGGCTTCTGTAACAGGCAAACTGAGGCCAGCCCCTCTTGAAGGCAGTCCTTGAACTCTGCCCTATGTGGGATGATTGCCTCATTACCAGTCAAGTCATGTTGCACCTCAGAGTATTTGTGCAATACAGCCACCTCCCGCTAATTTCAGATTTCAAAGTGCTTTGTAGGTTCCTGGAGAGAGAGAGTAGGAGATTAGGAGTGAGACTCCAGTAGGGGAAGAAACTTGGCCAAGCTGCGTGTGGAGACAGGAATTAAGGCCAGATGGGAGGACTCCCAGGCACAGTAGCTAAGCAATCTGGGATCAGGAATGGGCATTTTACCTTCCTTACCCTAAGGAGATGCTAGCCTCCCTCAACTCTCTGGGGACCCCGGAACACTCATCTGGCCCGTTTTCCTGACCTCTCTTTCCCCCACCAGCCTCTCAATTGAGAGGCACAGGTTTCAAGACACATCATCCCCTCGGATGGTTAGGGGTGGGAAAGTGGGATCTGCCAGTTGTTTCACATCTGTGAGAGGCCTGGAGAGGAAGAAAATTGCTCCTTTCCCATGAGGTAATTCCCATCTAAATCCCTGCTATAAGCTCACCTCCCCCAGCACTGAAACAATTCTCTTCATCCTTTTTTTTCCCTCTTCTTCCCTCTGAAACTACAGGCAGGGAGATTGAGGGCAGGAAAGGCAGCTCCCAACAGCTGTACCTAGAGAAAGAGACAGAAGTAGGAAATGAGGGGAGAGTGGCTTAAACCTGTTACTTCACAACTTTTGTCTCCATTCTTCAAACCCAGGTCAACACCTTGAAACCAGGGCCATGGGAAGCCCTCTCTCCTTGTTCCCCTAACTCTCTCTCACAGAAAAGGAGCCCTGCGTCCCTCCCTGAGGCCAGGGCTGCTTTAAAAACTGCTGTAAGAACACTACCACTTTCTACAGGACACCTGAAGTCCCAACCCCCATGTGTCTCTCAGTGCCTGTCTGGTCCAGAGGGAGCCAGTGACTCTGTCAGCACATCACCATTTTGTGCCCCACCAGGGGGTGGTCCATGGAGTCATCTCAGCTTTCAGCCCAGACCTCGCTCACTCTTTCCCCAAGCCACACCAACATTCCTTGGTCTCTCCCAAGCCAGGAGGCAGGTAAGAAGTCCATCCAGAGGGTCCCCTGGAACTGGCTAATATAGTTTACTCTACTGTTTGATGGTAAATAAAGAGAACTTGGGAAAAAAGGGAAGGAGCAACTGCGCCTGGTGTCCTCCTCAGCCACCCCTCCCCTGGACATTGGCTTTCTCCATGAAACAGTGCACTGTTGTTCTTGGACAACCATTCCCCGCCATCTTTGTTGAAGGGTTTGAGTTTCACCCTCCGTTCACCCCCATTAATCACCCCAGCAGCTAAACATCACCCAGCCCCCTCTGGCCCTTTCTCTTCTTCTTGCCCTTAGTATTCATGTGGGAGCATTCCTCACTGCTGCACGCTCACAAAGACCCCTCCTCTGACACGAGGTCCCTCCCACTCCCCAACCACCCAGTCCATGATGGGTACTACTCACTGTTCTGGATGTTCCAACTGCTGGCGCCCACTCCCCAGCTGTCTCCATAGCCACTGCCCCCTTCCCATGCACGTGTCAGCTTACCACACCCTCTTTCGGGTACCTCCTTTTAGCCCCACAGACTCTCTTCAGTCTTTCCCAGCCGCCATTCTGCCCTCCATGGCCTATGCATGTGTAACCCCTGCCTGCTTCCCTATACTTCTCCTCGCTTCTCTCTTCTTTCCCTCCCCAAGACATTCAGTAAGCACTTCAGATGGTGGACCTGAAGCCCTTCCCTTCCGGCCTTGAGAAACTGAGAGGTGGTGTACCACAGTGGTTAAAAGCATGGGTTTGTGATTCAAGTCCCTGATCTGACACTTGCTAGTTGTACAAACTTGGGCAAATTACTTAACGTCTCTGAGCCATCCATAAAATAGACATACCCACTGACCTTATAGAGTTGTTCTGTAGATCAGATTAAATTTTATTTGCATAGATCCAAGCATTCAGCAGGGGC